CTATATGGTAGCCTCTGGGCACATACAGTTACTGACCACTTGAAATGGGTCTATGATGCAAATGAGGAACTTATTCTTTAATTTTAATTATTAAATTTAAGTTGCTACATTTGGCTACTGGCTACCAAATTGGACACTGAAGCTCTAGAGGGTAAAACAATGGATTCCTGGACTGAAAACAGCTGGTCCAGCTAAGAATGAAGGTATCATACTGAAAAGAGTTGAGTTAAATGAACATAAGCAGAGTTTATACACTAAGGGCTAAGACCTCTAACCCAGACTGCTGGATGCCAGCTTACAAGCTCCAAGCAGAAGATCTGAAAATTCTTTTTTGAGGAATCTAACTCACTCAAGAGGAAAGCCAAAGATGTTGCTATGGAAGGTTCTCCAATAAAAGAATCCATCAGTATACCCTAAAATCCACAAATCCCAAGCATGCACTCCCAACTACATGTAATTAAAATTAAAAGCAACCTCCACAGGTGGTTGCTCTACATTTCTGCCCCAGTATTCTTGACACTGCTATTGTATTCATGTTCACCAAATACCAACATATGTTCAGACATAAAACACACACACAATGAAAACAAAAATGAGCTTTCAGGGTGCCTTGGTGGCTTAGTCGGTTAAGCATCTGCCTTCGGTTCAGGTCATGATCTCAGGGTCCTGGGATCAAGCCCCGCTTCAGGCTCAGCAGGGAGTCTACTTCTCCTTCTGCTTCTCCCCCTGGCTTGTGCTTTCTCTTTCTTGCTCACTCTCTATCACTCTCAAATAAATAAAATCTTAAAAAAAAAAAAAAAAGAGCTTTCAACTTTTATGAGATACTTACTCACTGACTCCCAGACAGCCCTAAGTCTGAACAATCCTTAAGGGATCCAATATTTGGGGAAATGTTTGCAGTGCAGCCACCATACAGGTTAACTCAAGCACTGTTATGAAAAAGTTCTTTTTAGCAGAGGTAAAAAGACAGTCATAGCTGTTGTACAGCAAATAAATAGGGATGGGGTTACCCATCCCAGAAATATGAGAGAATGAATGGCTTGTAGTAGGAAACAAGATTTTTTTTGCCACTAAAGATTTATTTGTTCTAGAGAAACAGCACAAGCAGGAAGAGAAGAGGAGAGCAAGAGAGAACATCAAGCACACTCCACCTGAGGATGGAGCCTGATGTATGGCTCAATCAGAGGACCCTGAGATCTGGACCCAAGCCAAAACCAAGAGTCAGGCACGCTTGACTGACTGAGCCACCAGCTCAGCGGGCCCCCAGCGGGCATCTTAACACTTTTCATGTGTGTGTTTAGCCTAAGCTCTTATTTTTGCTCCTCTTACAAATAAACTCAGGATAACTCCCTACCAATCACATCCAAGGCTGGCTGTACCTTCTGCCAGTCACTTGAGGCCAATGCCACCTTGGGCTGGGGCTACAGGAAACAAGATTAAAAACAAAAACAGGGGCACCTGGGTGGCTCAGTGGGTTGAAGCCTCTGCCTTCGGCTCAGGTCATGATCCCAGGGTCCTGGGCTCTCTGCTCAGCAGGGAGCCTGCTTCCTCCTCTCTCTCTGCCTGCCTCTCTGCCTCCTTGTGATTTCTGTCTGTCAAATAGATGGATAAGTCTTTGAAAAACAAACAAAAAAATAATGCCCACTGGCATCGGAGAACATGAATGAACCATAAAAAGACCAAGATTGAGAACCAGAGACTTACACATTTATAGTCCCTACTGGTAATACTTTTATCACATTCAGCCACTGTATAAAAAGTAGATTAAGTATCCAGTTTTGGTCTCAAGTCCTCATAGACATAGAAGACTGCCTCAAGGACCAGCAAATGACTTTCACTAGGTCTTCATGTTACTACCCTCACCCTGCCTCTGTTTCTATGTTATATCTGTAATATTAGTTTAGACTAAAATTGGGACTCTGGGTCCATATTTATCCTTTTTAAGCACCTCTACTTGAAAAGTCTGCTCTGTCAGAATCTGAAACAGCAATTTTTAAAACCTCAGAATTAGGGTATTTCAGACACAAAATAAAAAATTTAGAGACTCCATGACTTGGCTTTTCATCCCAGACATGTATCATAGGTTTCTCTAGACTCAAATTCATGTACAATGCATTTGTTAACATGTTTTTTTTTTATTTTAATTATTTATTTATTTAAGTAATCTCTATACCCAATGTGGGGCTCAAACTCATGACCCCAAGATCAAGAATCACATGCTCTACGGACTAAGTCAGCAAGGCACCCTGTTAACATGTTTTTATTAATGAGCAAATTTAGAACGCCCTTTGTCATCTGGTAGTAGAAAGGTAACATATTATGAACAAGATCACTTTTAGAAAATAATTCAGCATCCACCTCTGAAGGATTTGTAAAGTAGGGTCCATTTCCATCTCTACTAATAACACAGAATAGGAATACTAAAGATATATATATATATATATCTATCTCAACTGATGAGGTGGTAACAGTACTTCATATGTACCTTTCTTAGAGTGGAAAAGCCTCATGAGATAGATATAGAGCTTTTCCACTCTAAGAAGTACATATACATCTCTCATATGAATGTGATGGAAAAAAAATACATCTATCTATCTACCTATCTATCATGAGGCTTTTCCACTCTAAGAAAAGTATATGTGAAGCACTGTTATCACCTAATCAGTTGATCCTTTCCAGGCATCTACCAAATGCTTTAAATCAGTGGCACATTACAATTAAACCAAGAAAAGAAAAAGGACTAAAAATTCAAGCTTAAATACTGAAAGCCTCTAATTAAATTAGGTGTTTATAGGCAATTAGAGACCTTCAGAGTGAAGTTCTCAAAGTGCACTCCATTAGAAGCTGATTAGTGTTACAAAGTGGCCATGCACACTAGGATGGAGGAAGGGGTTTAAAGAAAGAAAGAAAAAAAAAAAAAAGGCAACCTGTGTATAGTGCACTGGGTTTATAAGCCAAAGCAAAAGGAAAATTTTCTTAAATTGAAATTTTTCCATGGTTTATAAAAGCTTGGCATAAAAGCCTACTAAAAAACTGATGTACAAAGTGATATAACCTTTATATACTTATGCCAAAAAACAACCTAAGCAACATTTAGTAAGATATTTTACTGTAAAATCTAATACTTTCATCAGAGGGCTTTAAGAAGTTTTAATGCACAGGAAAATACAAAAAGAATTATACTGAGCTACTGACTTACAGGACCTATCTTCTGGGCTCAAAGTGGTAAAAAACCTGAAAGAGTACTACTCTTTACTTAAGTAAAGTTATTTGTTAAGGGCATCACACTTTGTCTGGGAGCCTGTCCATAAACTAATATGTGAAACCTGCTCTACATCTGGGTTTTCAAAACATGAGTATCACCTGAGAAGCTATTTAAAAACCACAAATACAGAGATCACACTTCCGATCTACTGAGATAGCACCCAGGCACCTAGACTTTTGTATTAATTCCCCAAATGATTCCAATGCCCAGCCAGGTTTTGGAACCACTGGATTAGATGACCCTCAAGATCCCTTCTGTGTCCATGTGCAATTCTGTACTAAAGGAACTGGAGATTGCACTTGGCTACGTAATGCATGGCAGCCATCAGCATCATGTTCCACTGAAGAGGAAAGGAAAGCATCCTTAATTTGTCTGACCAAGTAACTGTAAGAACAGGCGCTCTTTACTCAGATCACTTAACTGCAGTGCCACACCCTCTTCCCTGAACACTCCTCTGACTTAAGGTCTATTATACTTCAGAGTGGGATATGTCTTACTCTCCGATACAGAGAAAGGCAGCTCCTCAGATTAACTCATGACTGTAATATCCAGCCACTCAAAGGGTCATTTCTCTGCAATTCCCTGCACATTTTCAACTCTGTTAGAAGCATAGTGCAGGGATCTTCAGAAATATGTGTGAATTATTCCTTCTAAAGCAGGCCAAAGTGTAAATGAATCCCCTCCAGCTTTTCTTCCTAGAAAGGGCCCACTGAGCACAACTATCTGGAGAAAGAAGCAGAACTGATTTAGGTTATTCCTCATAAACCAGCAATGTTTTATCAATAAACATAAGATACCTGGGTAGCTAGGAGAGTCTGACCTCTTCCTAATGCTGCACAACCCCAAGCAGAGCCTGCAGTTAGGTTCTGACCACACACCCTCCTTCATACCAAACTTAGTTATTCTGCGTAAAAGACATAATTAGGAACCTACCATTAAGTGTCCAGGATATTCTTAAATCCAAAACATTTAATGACTGATGTTCTGCTTTTTTCACTCCGTTTCATTCTCCCTATTAATATAGGCATAAAAAAGCGCCCCTTTACGTGTGGTTAAAAATGTCGAAGTACCTAGCACAAGATTAAAACCACCACCAAATGGCAGGCTAAGATTTTAACTCAGCTGTTCCGACTCTTACATACAAAACCCTCATTTCCCACATCCTCTCCGCGTCCCTCTTCCCCCAGCACAGGAGCCCAGTGCAACGGGGGTTGATACTAACTAGGATAGAAAGAAAAATAGAAAGCTTTATAGAAAACAAGCTTCCCACCACCCTAGCGTTTAACTGTGCCATAAGCATTCACTACAACAAGGTCCCAGGAGTGCGGGCTGAAGGAACTAAGGGCAGGAAGGAAGCAGAACGGTCCGAACAAACATAAACCTTTGGATTCCCAAACCGCAGTCCGGGAGGACCTCTAACAGCAGCTCTTCCTTTCAAACCTTTCCCTGGCCTCAGGAGGAGCGGCCGGGGGCGCTAGCTTTCTTTGCTTCTGCGTCGTATAGACTGGGGAAGAAAAGGGGAGGACAACGGTGCCTCGGAACGAGCTCCCTGCCTGCCCCCAGAAAAGAACAGCAGCGCCCAGGGAGAAATTTGCTGCCTCCGGTTCGGGTGTGGGGGGAGGGCAGCGCCTGAGGCCTCCAGGCCGGGGTGCTGAGCTGGCGCGCACTGGCGCGGGAATGGCCAGCCAGCCCGGTCCGTAAGTCATTCCGATTTGACACCCGGGCTCCTGCTTACCTACGTCCCTCGCTGCCGGCACCTACCGCACCGGGGGTCGAGATACTGCGGCAGCTCAGCCTGCGGCCCCGCCTTCGCCAGGTCTATGGAACCTGGTCAGTGAGGAGGTGCCCGGCCTGCTCGCAGCGGCCACAGCCACCGAGCTTCCTTCACAGCCGCCGCCGCGACGCCGGCGCTCACTTACAGCGTCACCTCCTTCCGTGCCCTTCCGCCTTAGCCCCGCCCGTCCGTGGTGGGGGCCCCGGAAGACAGAGCTGCGGCCCGGCTCTAGGGCGTGGCTCCGCCGTCCCTCCGCTTCCGGTGGCGCGCTTCGCGGCCTCCCGGGTTTTAGGCCAGATGTTTCCCGCTGGTTCGCACCGTCTCTTACTGGCGTCTTCCTCCCTGCGCGTGAGATTGGTGGGAACGGAGATCCAGAAATTGCAGAGGCTCGACAGGGCGGGTTTGAGACCTCTCTTCAGTCCCCTTTCAACTTTTTAACCCCAAAAGTGCTAAGGCCGACCACCGCTAATCCCTTTCCCTTTTGCCAAAAGCGAAGGGGCACCTTTCTGCACTGGATGAGCTTTGAGGCCTGGCCGGGGCTTTTCTTGGGGGGTTTTCCCGTGATCTTACCCCTTGGTATAGTAATTGCTTCTTTATCTGTGCTTCGCCTCTCAACTGAGAGCACTTACCCTGCAGAGCAGAGCCGGGTCTTACTCAGCGTTGTAGTCCCAGCACCAAACAGTGACTGCCTACAGGTGTTTACGTAGGTCTGTGCAATAGAGCTATAATTTTTTTTTTTTCCTCATGAGAGAGGAAAGTGGCTTCAGCCTGATAAATGTTCAAGCACTATTCACTCAACGCACGTTTCTTGAGCGTAAATAGGAAGTATTCATTCTCTTGCAAGCCCTCAGTCTAATTGTGGGAGTCATAAATGGATAGTTATAATCCACTGTCTTGACATAAAACAATAGGTTTGTAGTGGATGATGAATTAAATTTGGGGCATTTGATTTGGAATAGAAGGGAGACGAGTATAATTGAATATCAAGGGTAGGTTGCTTCAGAGCCTTGCACCCCAGGAGGGAAATCCTCAGCCTTTGTCTCTTCAACTACAGTTTTTGCTTCATTCTGTCTCCTTCCCGCTGGGATTCCAACTACATTACGTAAGATTCTTTGACCTTATTCACCATGTGTTTTGTTTTGGTTTTTTAAAAGCTTTTATTTATTCACTTGACAGAGCACAAGTAGGGGGAGTGGGAGAGGGAGCAGGGAGCACAACTTTATCGGGGTCCGTCCCAGGACCCGGGGACCATGACCTAAGCGGAAGGCAAACGCCCAACGGACTGAGCCACCCAGGCAACCCCTCACCGTGTGTTTTAACACTTTGTACTTTTTTTTTTTTTCACTTGAGGCTTCAGTTTGAGTGTTTTCTATTGTCCTGTCTGAGTTTCCTAATTCTCTCTTTTGTGATCTTCAATCATCTGTCAAATCTCTACATTGAGTTCTTAATTTTTAATACTGTATTTTTAGTGTTTTTATTTTAATAAATTTTAGATTCCAGTCACCTGTTGAAAGTCTCCATTTGTTCATGTTGTTAATCGTTTCTTCTGTTTTCTTTATCTTTTAGTTTTGTGGGATTTTTTTCCCCCCTCAGTCCTTATTTGCTACTTTAATATTTTGTTGATCTGGTTCAGTGGTTCATAATTCCCGCATGATTATCTGTCACATTTTCCTGCCACTTCACGTGTTTGGTAATGTTTTCTTATGTGTCAGACAGTGTGTATAAAAGAAATATAGAGCCACCACATTATCATCTACCAGTGAGGATTCCCCCTTCCCTCCATTAGGTTGGCTGAAGGGCTGGTCATCACAATCCAGTCAGGGATTGAGATGAGTCTTGGCAAGGTTGCCCTCTTAGATTTATCCTACCTCTAGTTCTTCCCTCAGGGGCAGACCAAGCTTTTGATAGACAATCTCAGCCCTGAAAGACTACAGTGTTTCCAGTTCATTCCTCTAGGGCTTTAAGCTTAGCTCTTCAGCCTCCAACCAACTCTGCTTCAAAATAGGAGAAATGTCAGGGCACCTGGGTGGCTCAGTGGGTCAAGTGCCTGACTCCTGATTTTGTCTCAGGTCATGATCTCAGGGTCCTGAGATTGAGCCCACATGGAGCTCTCTGCTCATCGGGGAGCCTGCTTCTCCCTCTCCCTCTGCCCATTGCTCTGCCTACTCATGTGCTCTCTCTTTGTCAAATAAATAAAATCTTAAAAAAAAAAAATTCTCTCTCTCTCTCTGCCCTAAACCACCCCCCAACACCCTGTTCGTGCATGCATGCATTCTCTCTGAAAAAATAAATAAAAATTTTTAGAAAGATGAGAAATGTCTTAAGGGAGAGATTTAACATGTGACTGAGGAGACCATGTCCCTCTAATGGGGTATGGTTTCTTAAGCATCATGACTTTTTTTTTTTAAAGATTTTATTTATTTTTTTGACAGACAGAGATCACAAGTAGGCAGAAAAGCAGGCAGAGAGAGAGGGAGGAAGCAGGCTTCCTGCTCAGCAGAGAGCCCGATGTGGGGCTCGATCCCAGGACCCTGGGATCATGACCTAAGCCAAAGGCAGAGGCTTAACCCACTGAGCCACCCAGGTGTCCCAAGCATCATGACTTTTTAAAACTTTTGGTTCAGGGGCACTTAGGTGGCTCAGTCAGGGAGGATCTGACTCTTGGTTACAGCTCAGGTCAAGATCTCAGGGTCATGGATCCCACCCTGTGTCAGGGTCTCAGCTCAGTGTAGAGTTGACTTGGGATTCTCTCCCTCTCCCTCCTCCTCTATCCTTCTCCACACTCATGCTATCTCTCTCTCTTTCTCTCAAAATAAATAAATAAATTAATTAATTAAATTAAAAATAACCTTAAGGTTTTGGCTCAGTTCCACAGCCTCCCAAGCAGGTCTCAAACTCAGAAAATGCCCCACATGGAAAACCAGTCATTCACTGGGGCTCTTCTGCCTTCCAGTCAGTCCCAATAGCCTGCTAAAAGTTCCTCTGGGTTTTCTTTGCCCCCACAGATTCCCTCTGCCTAAGTTAAGACTGATCTTAGGGGCACCTGGGTGGCTCAGTGGATTAAGCCACAGCCTTCAGCTCAGGTCATGGTCTCAGGCTCCTGAGATCAAGCCTCACATCGGGCTCTCTGCTCAGCAGGGAACCTGCTTCCCCCTCTGTCTCTGCCTTTCTGCCTACTTGTGATCTCTGTGAAATAAATAAATAAAATCTTAAAAAAAAAAAAAAAGACTGATCCTCAACCTGTACCTAAAATCAACAAATGTTTCCAGGAGCAGGGGAAGCTAGTGATTATCAATGCACCTTAGAAGGCCTTTCCCCATTCTGGAATTTTTGTTTACCTAAAATTAGGTAACAAGTCCTTACTTCCCAGCTCTCTGATGTATTTTCAACAATGATATTTTCAACTTATTCTGCATTTTTTTTAGGTTGTCGAAGCAGGAACATTGTCCTCCTACTACATCCTATTCAGAAGCAAAAGTCACTTGTAAACCTCCGTTATATCGTGTCTACAATGCCCAAGGGTAAAAATGATACCTTCTGCTTATAACCCTAATTCTCACATCTCTTTAGACTTAGACATTTATTTAAATTCATTCCTCAATACAAAACCTTTTCTCCATAATTTTTCCATCCATGATTTGGTGGACTTAAATTTGTCTTCTAGGAGATATTTTTAGGAGATTTTTTATTTTATTTTTTATTTAAATTCAATTTAGTTAACATATGTTGTATTATTAGTTTCAAGGATAGAATTCAGTGATTCATCAGTTGCAAATAACACGCAGTGCTCATTACATGAAGTGTCCTCCTTAATGCCCATCACCCAATTATCCCTTCTCCCCACCCGCTTACCCTCCAGCTACACTCAGTTTGTTCCCTATATCTAAGTCTCTCATGGTTTGCCTGCCTTCATCTTTCATCTTATTTTTCCTTCCCTTCTCTGCTTTCATCTTATTTTTCCTTCATCTTATTTTTCCTTCCCTTCTCCTATGTTCATCTTTTTTCTTAAATTCCACATTTGAGTGAAATCATATGGTATTTGTCTTTCTCTGGCAGATTTTTTTAAAAGATTTTATTTATTTATTTGGCAGAGAGATAGAGCAAGAACACAAGTAGGCAGAGTGGCAGGCAGAGGGAGAGGGAGAAGCAGGCTCCCACTGAGCAGAGAGCCCGACACAGGGAGCCTGGGACCATGACTGAGCTAAAGGCAACCCCTTAACCAACTGAGATACCCAGGCACCCGAGGCACCTGATTTTTTAAAAAAATAAATAACCATAACTGGGACACCTGGGTGGCTCTGTGGCTTAGGCGGCTGCCTTCAGCTCACGTCATGATCTCAGGGTCATGGAATCAAGCCCTGAACTGTAATCCCTCTTCATCAGGGAGTCTGCTCCTCCATCTCCCACTCTCCCTCTCCCTCGCTCATGCTCTCTCTAATAAATAAATAAAATCTTTTTTAAAAAAGTAGAGTGTTATTGTTTTATCTCTTACATGTACATCTATGATCCACTTGGAATTGATATTTGCATATAGTGTAAGGGTATCCATCTTCATCCTTTTGCACGTGGCTATTCAGTTTTTCCATAGTTGGAACATATGTTGAAAAGACTGTTCTTTCCCTTATTGAATTGTCTTGGCACCCTTGTCAAAAATCAACTGATGACAAATGTGAAGATTGATTTCCGGCCTCTAAATTTTATCCCATTGATTTTGTCTATTTTTATGCCATTGCCATACTTTTTAGATTACTGTTCCTTTTGTATATTGTTCTTGCATCCTGAAACTTTGCTAAACTCATTTATTCTAATATTTTTGTATCTATGTGAATTCCTTAGGATTTTCTTATTAGATCATGTCATTTGGGAATGGACATAGTTTTGCTTCTTACTCTAGATGCCTTTTCTTTTCTTTTTTTTTTTTTTTTTTTGCATAATAACCCTGGCTAGAACATCTAGTACAAAGTTGAATAGAAGTAGCAAGAATGGACATCATTGCCTTGTTCCTGATCTTAAGGGGAAAATGTTCAGTCTTTCACCATGAAGTACGATGTAAGTTGTGGGTTTTGTAAATGGTTTCATCAGGTTGAGGATGTTCTTGTTTTTTTAGTGTTTTCTTCATGAAGGGATGTTGAATTTTGTCA